ACTAAATAATCAAAATTATTATTATTACTAAATAGATATCGACGAACTTGCAATGTTATTACTTGGTAATAATAATAGTTTAGTATTAATAAATAATCAAAATTATTATTATTACTAAATAGATATCGACGAACTTGCAGTGTTACTACTTGGTAATAATAATAATTTAGTATTACTGAATAATCAAAATTATTATATTATTATTATTACTAAATAGATATCGATGAATCATTGTTAAAATAAATCAGCAATCTCGATTAACTTTTGTAACTTTTGTAATCGTTAATCTGTAATTTCTCAATCATTGATTAATTTATATTCTTATGTGATTGATTTATTTTATCTTATTAATGTGTTATTTCTTCGCATTGGTACAACATGTTGGAACGTCATAATCACGTAAAAGTTGTGTCATTCAAAATTATAATGTATAATAAATTTTATTATTGGAAATCGCTTGTAGTTTGTGCAATAAATCGAGATTGGACAGAATGTTATTATATTATGTGTATTCTTTACTATGTCTATCGTTGAATTTAGAGTAATTCATTAATTCATTTACAATTCTTTGACATGACTTTTGATATGAGAATCTCAGAATTTTGACCATTAACAATGGCCAATAATGACTTTCAATTGACGAAAGAATTTCTCGAATGTATCCTAACTAAATAGTTAGCTAAAATTGTGCAGAAATTTCTACAAAATGCAGTATATATCGTTGACAAAAATAAACTGATACAATCATAATCAAAAGTGTAATCATTTCACTCATCTTTCAATCACGATTCATATTCCACATTAATTATAATCGTTAATCGTTCATTGGCTTCGGCCTGATTTTAGCTCTGATTTTAATCCTAATTTATCGACTTACCTGACTCTATTCTTCCTATTGCTTTGTAATTGTGAAAACGTGAAAAGAGAATCGTCACTTCCTCTATCTGTGAATCTGTAATTATTCACTTTAATTTGTAAGTGGAGAATTTCCGAAGGATTCATTCGCTTTATCCTTTCCAAGTTGGTTTGAGAATGGCGTGCGAGAAAAATATTCGTCGACTAAGGACTTGCCCCCTTCGAGATCACTTTTCTTACGACTTCCGAGGCACGCAGAACTGTTCGAAATTATGCACTTAATCGCGCGGACAGACGCTCTGCACAGACTGAAATTGAATCGGCCAGAGTTCGGCCGAACCGAGAAAGCAGAAAGCAATGTTTTTCTACGGCCGGAGCGTTTCGTTGCTTCCTTTTTACATAAACTGGTTATCAATACAAATCTATAGAAAAAAAATTTGCAATTGCTAATAATACGCGGATTATGATCGAAGAGGTATATATTGCCTCGATATAACGAATCCACGAAACTTACGCACTCTGCAATATTTCACTTCCTTTTATCTGAGTATAAATTGTTAAACGAATAACGTTCGAGACATTCTCGCCGAGTACATCGAGAACAATAAATTACAGTGGTTTTCACTTTTTCTTTCACCGATAATATGTAACAAATGTTCGAGGAACTTTCCAAGTGTTTACGTTAGATTTATTGAACCGTCACTAACGAAAATTCAGCAAGCCAGAAGCCGGCTGCTTCAATTCCCGAAAATTTATCAAACTCCGGTGTAAGTGTAATAAAACAAATTTTCACACGGTGGACGAATTTACGAAGTGGATGGATCAATATGGCGTCTGAGTGAACACAAACTTGTCGTTGGTCGAAGGATCAAGCAAAGTGTAAAAGAACGTACTGACCGAGTTATTAAGCGAATCTGATTATTATACAGCTGCACACGAGTCTTCGTTGTGGCTCGAAAAAAATTTCTAACTTTCGTCCGTGTTCGTCGATAATACGCTCGTAAGATCGCGAGATCAAGTTTGATCGAAGTAAACGAAATCAAGTTGCTATATTCGTGATACGATTACTTAAAAAGGCCGTAGGTAATCGAGAGGGATTACTCAACACCAACCGAGAAGTTTATCGAGAACTGTAAGAAGAATTTTTACTTCATCGTGTTACGTGAGCGCGATTAATCGGTGTCTCGTGCGATCGGCGCAAGAAAAATGGATCAAGAACAAGTTCTGAAAGAATAGGTCATTCTGCTCGAACGGTCCTCAAGTTTCTCCTTCTTTCTCTTCCTTTTGAAACATTGTACACTGTTTCACATCCGAGCTCGATGCAAATAAATTCCATCGATTTTTCGACAATTGAACGCCGATTATACAGGGTGATTCACGTAACTTGCACACCTGAAGTAACTTTTCAATTATGCTGTCTGATGAAAAATTGTTTGATACGAATAGTCGTGTGGTTTCGAGGGTCGTCTTTGATGTATCTATCATG